GGGTTTGGGGAGGAACCAGGAAATGGCCCTAAGGATTTGCAGGTGGCTGGGCTGGGCCTGGCAGGGCAGGGAGAGGTGGGAAGAAGTCCATCTACAGCCACAGGAAAGGGGACAAGTCCTCACGGGACCTGGGCTCTGGGCCAGCAGGAGCGTCTGAGGTCGGGGAGGGGCTCAGCCCTCAGGCCCGACTGCAGCTCTTCCTGCCGTGGCCACAGACCTACCCCCTCGGGGTGCATCCGCTTCTGGGTGGATGTTATTTTATTTTTTGCTATTTTTAGGTCCCTATTCTTTCATCACTGCTCTGAAGGGGGCGGTGGAAAGGGCTGGTGACCTCTGCCCTCGTTCTCCCCCTCAGCATCGCTCTGCAGGGCCAGACACTGGTCAGCATCACCACCAGTCAGCACCCAGCTGGGAGCCGGGAGCCATGGGAGGCCCCAGGCCACCGAGGGGGCGGCACTTAGACCAAAGGACTGCAGGGCCCAGCGCATGTGTCAGGGGTTGAGCCTGTGCCTACCTACAAGCCAAGAGCCTACAGTTCCATTCCTGGTCACACACCAGGGTCGCGGGCTTGATCCCCAGTGGGGGGCGTGCAGGGGCAGCTAATGGATGATTCTCATCATTGATGTTTCTCTCTCTCTCCCTTCCTCTCTGAAATCAATAAAAAACATATTTTTTAAAAGGACTGTCCGCCCAACCTGGACTTACTCTTTTTTTTCCAGTCCTCACTTGAGGATGATTTTCCATCGATTTTTTAGAGAGAGAGGGGGGAGAAGAGGGGGGAGAGAGAGAAACGTCCATGTGAGAGAGACACATGGACCGAGGTTCGTGCCCTTGACCGGGAATCCAACCCGAGGCCCTTAGGTCCACAGGCCGACGCTCTGTCCACTGAGAGACGTTGATATTTTTGCTCCACAAACACTCAGGCTCCTCAGACCACCCCCCCCCCCCCCCCAGGCTGTGTGACCCCCTCAGCTTCCTGTGGGGCAGCTCCTCTCCAGGCTTCTCCTATCTGCCTCACGGGTGCCCCCTGGTGGTCCGGCAGGACACTGCTCAGCCCTGTGACCTGCTGGGGAAGGTCAGGCCACACAGAGGTGCCCAGGGCTGAGCCCAGCAGTCAATCCTCAGCCTCCTGGGCTGCTTCCCCGGCTCCTCCCCCCACAGGGCTCCCCGGCCCCTTCCAGGTCTTGGGGTCCCTTGTGAGGATCCCTGAGAGGAAGAGGGAAGCTGGGACTCCCTGACTCTGCTGCCTTCTTCCCGGGACCACAGAGAGCAGAGGCCCGGACCTCACCCTGAGGCCACAGTCCCCGCCATGAGGTGAAGGTTCGCCCCTGAGAGCTCTGGCTGCGGGATCCCTGGCAGACCGGGCCGGAGAGAAGGCAGACGGGGAAGGTCACATGGGTTCACCCAGCCCCACTCCCCGAGGGTTAGACGTCCCCTTTCCCGCCCTGGAGCCAGGGCCCGAGGCCGCCTGGTGACCCCGTGCCCATGGGGGTGGCAGCTGCCGGGGTCCAGGTGACAGCCCCTCCCAGGCCCGGGAACAGCGGGCGACCTGGGTGCGGGGTCAGCAGGGCCAGGTCACTCGGCTGCTTACGTGACAGCCCAGAGCGTGACCTTTATCGGTGGGGCCCGTGCTGACTCAGCACACGGATGTGGACGCACAGACAGTGTGCCGTGTGCCGAGGCCACAGCTACATACAACACTTTTTTCTGGCAATTTGATGCAACAAATTGTTTTTATTCGTCCTAAACAAACTCAGTCAGAGGCACAAATTTCATAAATTTCTAAATGGAAAAAACAGATTCTATGGACATGGCGGCTGGCACACCCAGAATAGGCAGTGAGTAAGCAGACAGAGATGTGAGCTGGGAGCCAGCTGGTGTGGCTCAGGGGTTGAGCAGTGACCTAGGAACCAGGAGGTCAGGGTTTGATTCCCGGTCAGGACACAGGCCTGGGTTGTGGGTGGATCCCCAGTGTGGGGCCTGCAGGAGGCAGCTGGTCAGTGATTCTCTCTCACAATTTTCTTCCACGTCCCTGACGGCGCTTCTCAAATGAATCTGCGTATGAAACTGATCCCAGTGCTGAGTGTGCCCGTGGGTCAGGGTGGGCCGGGCTCTCCCATTTCTATGTTTGTCTGTGTGTCTGTACATAAACATACATATACATACATGTCTACACATGCACCATAGATAAATGTACATATGTATATTCACATGTATAGGCTATACATGCTGGGGTTTTTTATTTATCTTTTTGTTTAGTTTTATAATTTTTTTAATATCTTGTTTATTTTTTAAAATATATTTTTCATTGACTTCAGAGAGCAAGGGAGAGGGAGAAAGAGATAGAAACATTAATGATGAGAGAGAATCATGGATCGGCTGCCTCCTGCATGCCCCACACTGGGGATGGAGCCCGCAACCGGGGCATGTACCCTGACCAGGAATCAAACCCTGACCTCCTGGTTCATAGGTCGATGCTCAACCACTGAGTCACGCCAGCCGGGCTTCCAGAGATTTTTAGAGAGTGGAAGGGAGGGGGAGAGACAGAGAGACACACATCGATTGGTAGAGGGACGTGCGCTTGGAATGGAACCTGGGACCTTCGTCCACAGGCCGACCCTCTCTCCACTGAGCCAAACCGGCCGTAAAAACAGTTTATTTCACCATATTATTTTAATTTTATTTGTTAAGTTCTAGGGAATAAGTTTATTGTGGCAGAGCATGTCACACACGACTGAAGGTGCGTGCATTGGTAACATCACTCTGCGTCCTCCATCGGGTACAAGTGTGACCGGTTTCCTGCCTCCGGTTCCCACCATCACCTGCACGGCTTCCTCACTCTGACCCGTGGACGTTTAACCCGACGGCTTCTGCTGACGCTCTGGTTCCAAACAAAACTCTGCATAAGCTCCTGGGTCCACCTCATCGTCAATATCATCCAAGTACAGTCACCACCCCGGACACACCTGCTCCGTTTTCTTCACAATCTGGAAAATGACTCTTCTCTTCAGCTCACTCTTTTTTGTTTTTAATAAATCTT